GGGCTGAGCTGGCCACACACACACACACACACACACACACACACAAATAAATAAAATTAAAAAAAAATAGCAATGGAGAGCTGATCTTTTAAATGACACCAATTCAATTCTATTTAATTGAGTAAATATTTCCCAGGATTTAATATAAACAGAGAGCGCAGCTGGGACTTATGAGTTCAAGTTAGTACAGTCACATCTACATGAAAGCTTCAGAGTGTTCTTCACTGAAAGAATTTTTCATTTTAAAACTTCCTTCTTTCAAAAAGATAACAACTCATCTTATTTTCTAAATGGCTTGTCCTCAATTTGGCATGATCTTCCAAAAACCCAAGCCTGATGGATATTAGTCCCCATGTGAAAGTTCTTTACCACTGAAGAAGAACAAATTGGACCTAAATTGAGACTGTGCACAGCCTGTGCCCCAATTTGCCCCCTCCAGTCTCATCTCCACACTCTTTTCAAGTTGGACCGAGAGGCTTGGCATACTGAACTTTGTCAAGGTGATAAATCAATCCGCAGGTCTCTGCACCTGCTCTTCCGACTTCCTGGGGTGTTTCCTTCTCTTCCTCTGCTTCAGCCACCAGCCAGCCTTCAGAGCACCTGCAGTGTCATTACCTCACCAGGGAAACTTTTCTTGCACCCTCACCTCTGGATCAGATACATCTTTTCTGTTTCCTATGGATAGTGTCTGCTTAGAGTATTTTACTACTTTAGGATTGCACGTACCTTCGATTTTTCTCTCTCCTACTCCACTGTCACATGGGGGCGAGGCCCAAAAGTGTTCAGTAAATATTGGATGAGTGAAACTGCACAAGTGAATCACTCAGAAAGTTTGTACTAATGGTGATTGGACAGGATATCATGTCTGCATCTTGTACTATGAACAACTACTATGAAGACAATAATATGTAATGTATTAACTATTGGAACTGTCCTACTAACCTGTTTTGAAACTGTCTCATTGCTATTTGTTTCTCAATAAAGTTAATTAAAAAAAAAGAACCATCAGAGATCAACAGAAAAAAGAATAGAATAAATACTAACACTGTGATAAATCACAGGGACCAGTATCATAGGCTCATACTATTGTGATAAATCATAGAACCACGAATGTGCTCAACTTTGCAAAACCATTAGGAATGCCAGATACCCTTGGCAGCAAGACTGGCTTTCATGGAACCACTTCTGTGTCCCTGCTGCAGCAAATATCTTGCAGGACAGAAGGAAAAACAAGTATATAGGAAAGGAGCTTTCCATCTGGGAGCATAAGGCAACAACTGAACACATAACCATAGAGCCAAGAATAACAGTGATAATTAATGGCTCCATTCTTTCCTGCTGTTTGGAACTGTTTTCTAATCCTTGAGAAAATACGTGCACTGTATTATAAGAGACATTTCTACATATTAAAAAGTTTCCAAAGTAACTTCACTTCTAAAGAGTTTGCTTGTATCTGATCATTTATTAACTGCAAATGAAGCTGTCTTATTATCACCCAAGGAACTGACAGAAGCAAATAGTCTTCAGAAATGAGCCCAGCTGCACCAATACATTTTTCTGGCCTTTTGGCCCAGCTGTCCTGACTTGTGGCATATGTGATCAACAGGTATCACTGGACAGGCCAGGCTCCGAATCACCTACTGCACATCAAGTGCAAACCATAGCTCTTGTTTGTTTGGTTTGGTCCTTGGTTTTCGTTTTGGTTTTTTGCTGATTTTTTGTCTTGTTTGTTGTTGTCATTGGGGCAAAATAAGGAACCTCATTTATGAAGTTGTCATGTGCAGAATCTGCCAAAACAATGTAAACTCACTTCAGGAAAAGTAAAATAGCATGACATTGTTTTCTTACAGTTGGTGTCACCTCATGGGGTGGGGGTGGGGGGGGTAAAGGATGCCAGACGTCACAGAAAACCCACTATGCTGCCTGCACTTAGAGAAGAAACTAGAAATGCAAGTGCAGCGATCTCAACGACTGGCGGCAGTTTGCCATACTAGAAATGTCTGGAAGCTCAAAGCCACCCCTGTGAGCACGTCTGCGATTGCAGAGGCCCTAGGTACCTGGGACTAATCTCGCCACGGCTCCATACAACAGTATTAAAGTATTTATACAAGTTTTTCTTTTCCTGAATTGTGTATACATTTTTGGCAGACTGTAAATAAAAATCCCCATATGTATTGTTTTGTGTCATTATCAAAAAATTGTCATTTGCAGTATACATGATTCCGTGAGTGTTCAAAGAGATAACATGTACAAAGAAAACCACTCATAAAAAGTGACATCTTGAGCTATTATTATTTAAAAACTTACTTGATCTCCTGGCTTTCCGCCTTCCCCAGGAGGTCCTGGAGTCCCAGGGAGTCCCTAAAATGGAAGAAAGGAAAGTGAATCTGTAAAAATGTAATAGGTTACCAACATGAAGAGTTCACCTTTTACAATACATGGAGTCTCTATGACTATACATCAGCAAAAGATATTGTGTACCCAGGTTAAGGAAACATTCAAGAAAAATCTATTCACATGCTTAGAAGAAAACTGCTTCTAAGAAAACATAAGAGCCTATCAATTTACAGGGTTAGACTTCTTTAACTTGCAGACCATTTAGCAAAAAGAGAGAGACAGAGACAGAGACAGAGACAGAGAGACAGAGACAGAGACAGAACGAGAGAGAGATTAATAAAGCAAAAAGTTCTTCACATCTGCAGAATTTTCATGTCTGAGAACAACACTTGAAATTGCTAAATATGACTGGACATCACTTCTGAGGTTTTTATCACAAATTGTGATTATTTATGCTATTAAATACTAAAAGGTAAATATGTGCAGAGAAATCATAAAAAATGGGCAATAAGAAATTCTAGTGACTGTGCCAATTAAACTAGATAAATCTTAAAGCAGTTATAACACTAAGCCTTGTTCAGATACTGGGAGAGTTCTGTGACTTAATTTGTTAATAATTGTGTGTTCAATCAGTTTTTTAGGGGAAATCCATTCCTTATCTTTGAACCAAAATATTTGATACTTACCCAAACATCTACCTTACTACCAAAAGAAGAATGATTTTTTGAAAGTTTGTGATCTCAAACGTATGCTTCCCTAATTTGTGAAGGCATTCACAGGGAGAAGCAACAGAACCTCGATTCACACATACCTGAAATCCAGTGGGCCCGGGGGGGCCCTGCTCGCCTCTTTCCCCAGCTAGGCCCTGAGTCACAAAGGAAAGAAAGCCATGAATAGAGTGACATTTCTATTTCCACTTCCTGTTTATGTGAAGGACTAGAAGCATTGATGTCTCTGTATTTCTTCCAATAACATGCTCTTACTGCAACCAGATAATCAACTATTAAAAATCATCAAAGGGTACTATTTGAAGTCCTTGCTGGTAAGAAAATATCTTCTAGAGACAGTCAAGAGTCTCACAGCATGTAGTTATATTTTTATCCAGTCATAAAACTTATGGATCCAACAGCAAAATTATAGGGAAATTGAATATATTAAATATGGAAAAACCCATTATTTTAATGTATCTAATCTAAAAGGGCAATGGTTTCCATTGTAGCGCACTTCTAAGTGGCATAAGCAAAACTTAAATTTTCAAACCCAAAATGACTAAAGAAATTAAAGTTAACATTTTAGAAAGATATTTATACTACTCCACCCTAAAGCAACAAACACGCCAAACTATTTCTGATAAACCAACTTTAAAATCTAGGATGAAGACATAATCTCAAAGGATAAATATTATTCCTTTTTACTCCTCCAATAAACGCCAGCTTAAGCAATATTTATGAGATACATTACTGAAAGGAGGTACGTATAATTCAGCATTTAAATATTTTGGTTTTCTAGTGTATGTTTGCGGTGCCGCAAAACTGCTACAAGCAAGCATCAAAACTTGGTCCTTTTTTCTTCCCATTCCTTCCATTTACACATCTCCCCCGCAAGCAGATTATATTCCAATCTCTGCAAAATCTACCTTCCTGTTTCCTAAAATAAAATACATTGCAAAGTATTTCTTTGTCAAAATGTATTTCCTCCAGTTGATATATTCTTTGATGGACCCGTAAAGATGATGAGGTAACTTTTGCCATCAGATGGTTAGAAAGTTTAAAATGAAAAGACCAATTGTTTTTATGTATATAAAGATAGCTGAGATGATTGTACTACTAATTTCTATCAGGTCTTTGAAGGGAAGCTAGTGCTTATATTGTCTGATTCAGTTTGCATGCCTACACCTGATAATCTTCAACTACTTTGAAGACAATAATATACAATATAATAGCCATTGTTGATTTATCATCTTGTTTCGAAATTCTGTACCTTTTTTTTTTAATTCTGCATCGTTTTTACTTGTTTTTGTTTGTTTGTTTTGTTTTGTTTCTTTAAAATATACAAGAACAGCGTTGGCCAAATAGCTCAGTGGATTAAAGTGCCTGCTTAGGCAGACACAGGGACGGGGAGTTCGATCCGCGGGCTTGCTGTGCCAGCCCTGACCCCCAGAGCGCACTGAGATGGCGATTGAGACTGTGCATGGTGGCGCACGCCTGTAATCCCAGCACTTGGAAGGCTGTAAACAGGAGGATCACTATGAGTCCGATCTATACAGTGAGACCCTGTACACCCTGTCCTAAAATACAAAATAAAATAAAAGACCAATCATTTTGTTTAAAAAGATAGAAAGCACAAGATTATAAGGAATCAAATGAAAAGATACAACTGAAATTCTCCAACCCTATGGATTCTCATTCATTTGCCTTGCAACCTCTTCATTAGCAAAATCTTTGACAAACCCAACTGAACAATGCAACACATAAAGACCATTCCTGAGTGATCACATACCGGGGGACCAACAGGACCAGAAGGACCGACTTCTCCATCTTTCCCCGGAGCTCCCTAGGGTCACAGAGAACATTTGTGAGGTGAAGTCGTGAGCATCTGGATAATTTCTTTTTTTTTTCTTTAGTAGAAAATGCATAGTTACCCTCTGTCCGGGAACACCGGCATTCCCTGCTTCTCCAGGTTTTCCAGGGTCACCCTACAGAATAAATTGAGGCTGTTCCAAAATTCAACTGATTTGCTAAAACATACGTTGGTCCCCAAATGAGAATTCTGAAGAGACAGCAAACACTATATGCCATACTCACACTGCTACCTTTGGGACCTGGAAGGCCCATACTCCCAGGCTGCCCTCGGATGCCTACGGAGCCTGGAGGACCCGGCCGGCCGTCTTCCCCAGGAGCGCCCTACAAGACAGCAGAGCCAGCAAAGTTGTGCAGTGCACTTCTCTGCACAGGACATCAATTGGCTCTTGCCTTTGCATATGATGAAAGTTGTGCAACTTTACAATGTTCCTTTATTTTAATGTTAATGAATCAGAACAGTTGGATAGGTATACTGAGTATATAGAACAGAGATTGCATCCTCATCCTGTTCATAAACTGAGTGTTCACATTTTCTGGAATTGTCATAAAAACAGAAGGAGTCTTCTTCCATTTACTCCAGGTCATGTTGTAATATTAGGAATGGATTTAGAGTACATAAGCTGTCAAAATTCACTCTTATTTATCTCTTCCACATGTAAAATTAGATCTCCAGATATAAGCATATTGCTAATAGGTGAATTCCACCAATATTGAAATTCATCATGTTAACTTTATCACCAAAGTAATTTCACTCTCGCGCATGCATGTTAATAAAATTTGATCTATATCTAGATTAATTTGAAAACACACAGCCCCTAAAATGTTGCTACTGAGGGGCATTATAAATATGTAAACATCCTCAGAATCCATCAAGGCAAAACCATTAACCTCAAGTAAATACCATTTGAGTTCTAGCCATCCAGTATGTTCAGGATAATAAGCGCTTGCTTAAATCACTTACCAAAGGCCCAAGTTTCCCTTCAGGACCTTGAACACCAGGATTTCCTGTCAGACCCTGAAAATAAGAAGGAACTGTGACTTTGTTCCCAAGTGGCAGCTGAAGTAAGATTCCCAAGAGGGAAACTCACACTATGTCATTGGCAACTGCATGTGACAGAAATTGTATAGTACACATAAATTTTTAAGTAACTTTTATTAAAATCAAGCTCAGGAATTGTCCTCACAAGAGACCATACAAATTGTTTTAGCAAGAATTTTTTTTAAAAAACTGTAAAAATTAACTAACAGGAGTTTTTGCTCATCAAGCGGCAAAGCTATTTATACACACTACTTTGAGAAAGGCAGACTAGAAGATACTGTGCTTTATATGCACCACAAAAATAACAAACTGGTATTTTTAAATTAATGAGTTGGGTCAAAACCATAAAACAAAACAAAACAAACTTTTCCCAGCTGTGAATGAGCTAAATTTAAAAAAAAAAAAAAAAAGATTCAAAACCTTCAACAAGTGCCCAAAGGATTTCTTTCACTTGAGGTGGCGGGGCGCTGCAGTGTGCTTACCCGAGCACCTGGAAGGCCAGGTTCACCTGGACGCCCTGGGTCTCCCTGGCCTCCTTTGGGTCCTGAGGAGCCGACAGGGCCGCGCTCTCCTTGAGCACCCTGCTCCAAAACATAGAAGACGAGTTGGGGTTAACAGGGAGCAGCAAAAGCCAGCAGGGATGAAACCCTCCCCTCCTAGTTCCCCCCAATGTAAAGTTTCATCAAGAGGAAAACAATTTCTTGAAAACAATATCACTTCACATTTTGCTGTCATTTGTGTTCCTTGTAAATAATTGTCTCTGCCCTCATCATTAACCAATGAAACATCCGGCTAGGGCCAATAATTTAGGGTTTTTTCTTAAAGAGTATTTTGAAAATGTCTAAACTTCCAACTAAAAGATATATGCTATATCAGTTAAAGTGCCTATAAGCCATTGTTCTCAGATTGTCCCTGGAGAAATTGAAAACATGATCCCACATTCTTTCTTTCTTTCTCTCTCTCTCTCTCTCTCTCTCTCTCTCTCTCTCTCTCTCTCTCTCTTTCTTCTTTCTTTCTTTCTTTCTTTCTTTCTTTCTTTCTTTCTTTTTTTGGTACAGGGTCTCACTACACAGCTTGAACTCGCAGTGATCCTCCTGCTTTCAGCCTCCCCAGCACTAAGAATGCAGGCATGTGCCACCATTCCCAGTTTTGGTGGCTGGCTCAGCTCACTAGGGCCCCTGCTGTGCTGGAAATCAAACCCCAGTCTCTGCTCTTTCCTAAGCAGGGGCATAGTCCACTGAGCTATCTCACCAGACCTGAGCCCATATTCATTCTCTTTTAGATCTTTTGATGCCAAAACACTACACAAGACACATTTTGGCTAGGCCACCATCTTTCTGGACCTGGAGTCCTGTGCACCAGAGTTACATCACATGCTAGAAAACAGTCTTTTGGAGCAGCTCATGCGTGAGCATTGCACTGGCAGAGTGATCTCACCTTCGGGCCAGGTAAACCATCTGAGCCTGGAAAGCCACGATTGCCAGGAGCACCCTACAAAAGGCCAAATGCAACTTTTAATGGCTATTGACAATTTTGCAATCAAGTGAATAATTTTTCTTGTCAGTATCATAAAGTTGTAGGAGCTGTGATCAATCCAACATACCAATAGGTAATTAATAAAGATCATGCACTAGATAATTCTTCAAATAAAAAGAATATTCTAATGATTTACAATAAACTTATATGGAGAATAATTAATATGTACACTGGAGAGCCAAATCACCATATATGGAAATCAAAATGTCCACAGCATGCACTAGTGTTGCCTTATATTAGAAGCCCCTGGAATCCTCCAAAGCTCTATGTCAATCTGAGAATACTGTCCATACCAGTCTGCTTCATTGTATTCCAATCACAGAAATCTCTTCTGATCTTCAAATGGTATTAGCAAGTCCTTTCTGACCCTCCTAGCTTAACTGTTACTTTCTCCTCCACTAATAATGTTCTTTCTTCTTCACTGGGTGTCAGCCAAACACTACCTGCTGAAAGGACCCTACTCCCTGGACACTTAATCTAACATTGCGGCACTGCCATGTACTCCCAATGTCTTCTTGTTTAATAGTGGACACGGCACTTACTCCAGTGTGGGATGTGTTTCCATCCCCCTGTTGATTTGCTCATTCATCACTTACCTCTCCACTGAGGTGTAGGGTCTTAACAGCCTACACGTGAGTGCTGGGGCCACAGCTTCCTGTTTACTGATGCGATCCAAGCACAAAAAGCTCCAAGGGGTGTGGAGCAGTAATTCAGTTAATATTTGTTGAAGAAATAAATGAAGAATGACTCGCCATTTGGCCCTTTTCATAGACAGACAACTCTTATACTATACAAAGTACCTGCAGAATATACCTTGACTGCTTTGGTTTTCCTACTTATCCCAAACTACAGTCATGCAGTTCCTCTACAGCTCTATGAATGCATTTCATTACTCAAATGTACCCTTTCTCCCATGGGGCCTGGAGGACCGACTGTCCCTGGGTCACCTCGAGGGCCCCTCTTGCCTTCTTCCCCAGGTGGGCCGATCGGACCTTGAACACCGTGTGGCCCCTGTTGAAATCAGAATGACAGTTACCAAGAAGAGTCATGTGGATGATAATCGGGAGGCTTGTTTAACAAGGCTAAGTCCAAAATTTTAAAGTGTATTAAAAGATTAAAATATTTTCATCACAGGCTATTAATATTCCCAGTTATTCTAAAGATTTGGACTTTTTCAGTTGTATACTTCTGAAGGGCATTTATGCTCTTATAATTGAAATAAATGAAGACTTACTGGTTCCCCCTTGGGGCCAGCTTCTCCTTTGAAACCTGGAACTCCTGGATCACCCTAAAATAAAATATGTCACTGATATTGAGAGATAGCAAGCCTCTCACCAACCTGCTCTAGGCAGCTGCAGTGACTAGACTATACCATTTTCAGCTGCTAAGTCTACATTGCACTGGTACGATGTAATCATTTTTTTATTTTGCAAATGTTGTAAATTTTTATATGTAATATATGTAAATTTTTATAAAATTAGTACAATTTATTAGTCCATTTTACATTGGTCTTCAAGAAGTTTGCTTTTTAAAATATGGTTTTATCACACAAATTACTATAATTAAAAGTATTCATTTATTCAAATATGATCATTAAAATTAGAACTAACAAGGAGCTGGTGAGATAGTTCAGCAGTCTAAAGCACCTGCTTAAGCAAGTTTAGGCAGGCGCAGAGGACCTCGGTTTGATCCCTGGTACCACACGCCATACCAGCCACGCTCTCAGGGCAGGCTGAGCCAGCCAAAATAAATAAATAAAATATAAAAAAACAAAATTAGAACTAACAATGACAATTACTGTAAGTGATGTTACTATAAGTTTATTTTAGGATAGAGGCTTGTTTATTCAAAATGAAAATAATTTCATACTCTATTTGTAATGAATTCGGAAATTTCGAAGAGTTATTCGTAGAATGTTCTACTATTTTGCAAATATGTCTTGGAACATTACTTGCAGACTATTTTGCATGAAAAATTGCAAATTCAGAATATGGCAAAAATCAACTGTGACATATCAACATTTATACATCAAGAAATTTCTCATAAGCATTTAGAAAACCTTTATCAGCATATACCAGCATAGCCACACCATTTAGAACAGAATCTAAAATATTTGTTTAAGTAAGTAGTAGGAGAGAATTTTTTTGGTTTTATGTACCAAGATAAAAGTTGTATAAGAGCAAGTTTTCAGTGTATCTATTTCACAATGTCTTTCCTAAAAATTTCTGTAAAATATGGAAACTCATTCCATGTAAACAATATGTTAGAATAACTCTTCAAGAATAGCTCTCAAGGGATGGCCAGATAGCTCTACAGACTATAGTGCCTGCTTAGGCAGGCGCAGTGACCAGAGTTTGATCCCTGGCATACTGCGCTGTCCCCACCCCTGAGGTGCCCTGAGAGAGTGACTGAGACTGGGCGTGGTGTCATGCACCTGTAATCCCAGCACTCTGGAGGCTGAAACAGGAGGATCACTATGAGTCCAATCTGTTTAGTGAGACCATGTAGATCCTGTACTTAAAAGTACATTTAAAAAAAAAAAAAAAAAAAAAAAAGAATAGCTCTCAAAAAATCATTGTTAAACCCATTTTCTTTTCTTTTTCTTTTTCTTTTTTTTTTTTCTTTTTGTACCAGGGATTGAACTCAGCGCCCTGTGCTTGCTAGGCAGGCACTTATTCTACTAAGCTATCTCCCTGACCCTTTTTTAAAAACTCAATTTTAGCCAAATCATCATTAAAAATTCCTATATACCTCTATGTTTATTCTCAATGGCTTATAAAATATTTCCATCACATTGATTATTAAGTTATTTATAAAATTCTATGAGTTGTATCATGAAGTCACTATTTCATGACACTGAGATCTTCTCACACACCATAATTTACATACTGCAGTGCTCAGCTTAGAATCCGACAGTCAACTAGAATCTAAGCATCCAAATCACAGCAACTTCCGGCTTTCTTCTGCCAGCCATTCCAGCCTTCAGCACCCTTGTTTGGATGCCACATGCCCTCTGTTTTATTGCACCTCATTACTTGTTATTTCTCTAGGCACTCATGGTTCAATTACACTAAAGTAAGACAGCCGCTTCCAACGATGATATTACCGGTTGTCCTCGAATTCCCTGAGGTCCAGTGCTACCCTGAGGGCCGGGAGATCCAGGGGGCCCTAGCAAGCCAGGAGGGCCAGATGTACCTGCTGAGCCCTGTCAGATAACAAGAATGACATGATCAGTAAACACCTAGGAAGGAGCCCCGGGCCACAATCTAAAAAGGTGCATCATTTGCGCTTCACGCGGCATAAATGCAGTTACTTACTGTGGGGCCTTTGGCACCAGGTGTACCATCAGTTCCCATAGCACCCTAAAAGATACACAGAAAGATTCTGAACCATTAAGCCTTATCTGGATACCCTATGAATGAGACTCAGGATGCAGAGAAACAGAAACAGCCTCCCTGCTACCACTATATCGTAAGATACTTTTTTGACTGTCATTTCTACTGAATAGGTAAAATGTGCAAAACTGAGGTGAAATCCTTCTCATGGGCTTTAAGCACTCACTCAGAATTGAAACACAGCATCTTAGGCTACCTTGGATTTGTTCTGCTATTATAATAAGCTCCCCTCTTGCTGGGCTGGTTCTTAGACACCCTGGGAACTTACAGGAAGACCTTGAGAGCCAGCTGGACCCGGCGGCCCATTTTCACCTCGCTGGCCCTGAGGACCTTCAGGACCTCGAGCCCCCGTAGGACCTGCTTCTCCCTAGAAGGGGCAAAAGGAAAGATTCATTCAAGGAAAACATGAGAGAACTATGGTATGACATTGATGGCATAGAGATTTTCCTTTTAAATCTAAACACTTAGAGCGGCCAAGAGCTCAACTTGGCTTATCAGGGAAGGGTGTGTGGATTGGCTCGCTTACGGAATGGACTCATTCCCCACCCTGTGCTGAGGTCACCATGTGGCAGCCTCTACACCAGGAATTGCTCCCACATCCCAACTTCCAGTTACAGCAATCCTAGCCATCCACCGGCTCAGGACCTCTATGGAATCTGAATTCATCTCCATTTATCAGATCATTTTAACTTATTGCACAGTTAACATTCAGTGTAAGACTAGAGCTATAGTCAAAGCTGGGCATATCCTTATTCCAGATCTTGGTATCCCTGTAGCCGACCTAGCTCAATATCACAGGTCTTCACACCCTGAAATCAAGACCACCTTGGTGTAAATATCAGCAACACAGACTCTATAAATAAAACAGCCAAGTGGAGGAAAATTAACTGGATCTCCTGTACTAGCATGACTTATTTCTATTCAAAGAAAACCTAGGCATTTCAGGGCCACACAGTTAAGCTTGATTTGATCAGGAGATAAACCAATGTATCAAAATTTATTTAGGTCAATTACTTCCTAGTATCTCTAAATAAGCCAATATCAGCTGAAATGTACTGCACAATTCAGACACTACTTCTCCAAATGAGTAAAATTCACTGTAAAAACACGTTAATATATAAAAACATTATTTTTAATGTTTCATATCATTGCAGAATAAGACATAGTTTTCTATGCTACACAGCAGTATTAAAAACTCATGTTTCAGTGTGGGAGAGATGAGTTGATTAACAAAAAGTTTGATTCTATTTACTTTCAACAAAGGGTTTATTCAGTATAATAAAAACACACGGGCTAGGATGTCTAATGAACTTGACAATTTTTAGCAAAGTAAATACCTCATTTGTTTAAGAAAAAAAGATACAATAAGCATCACTAAGAGCAAAGCAGAGTGCTCAAGTAAACCTAATTGCTACCTTAATTTTCATCCAAGATAGTGCTCCAGACAGAAAACAAAATTCAGGAAGATTAATTAAGATAAATGAATAACTTTTGGTCTAAGTTTTCTCCATAAAACATTTGGGACATATCTATAAAGAAAATTCATACTTCATTCATGAGCTATTCGTTCTTGGTTCCTCTACTTTACTCCATATGCTGTATACCTATGTATTTGTAATCCTAGAGGCACCAGGAAAACTCAAATCATAAGCCTTGAGCAGCTCATCCATATCAATAAAATATACTAAGTCCTATTGCCTTTCATCAACATGCAAAGAGTAAATTTGGAAGTTTGTTTGTGCGTAGAGCCAGAGACCATGGCCCAATCGTACAGAAATAGCAGAATTTTAGAGGAAAAAAAGACCAGAAATTTCATGTTGGGGGATAGAAAGGCAAAGACAGGGGATCAACTTCTGAGAGAAATGGCTGTGCCAGTTTTTGAGTTTTGAGAAACCAACATCCAGTCTTGTAAACATGAAGGAGAAAGGAGAAGTATCCACAGTGCCTGCCTGTCAGCTGTGATTGCTGGTGAAGTTGAGCTAACATCTGCTATAACAGGAGCAGAAATCGCTTCCTGCAACTCACAGAACTCAGCTTTGTGAGTTTTCTTTCCTGTTACCCTAGCCAGAACTCAGTCTGGAGATGGAGGGTCTTACAAGAAGAGTACATTGATGTTTCCCATTTTGATAGGGGTCCAGGGAGGTTAGGGTGAACTCGGTGGTGTTCAAATTTGGACTTCAGGGCCAGAGATGTCACTCAGTGGTCAAGTTCATGCTTAGTTCACTTAGTTCCTGAAATCAGCCTCCAGAAACACACAACCATGCACACACTTGTGCACACAACCCTGCGTGTGCATACACATGCTTGCACACTTGGACTTCAGAATCAGAAAAAAAACAAAGATTCTCAAAGAAATCAAGGACAGGTGAGCAAAATGACTGAGATGCCCTCTTTAGGCAGCACCGTCCCCAGGGCACAGAGCGCGCAGGCAGCCATGGAGAGGGTGTGGACAAGACTGGACCTGATGATTCCCACGCTTCAAAGGGTGCCTCAAATGTCAGGGATCGTTTCTTCCTAAATTCAAATCCAACTTGAGCAGCACACTCGGGAAAAGCAGGAAGCTGCACATCGCGCATGTCCTCTGTGTCAGGGCTCATGTGGTGGCTCTCACTGATTTGCAAAAAGTAAAACTAAAATAGGGTTTCAAAACAGGCTAGTAGAAAAATAACAGTCATTAATGCATTGCATGTTATTATATTCATATTAGCTATTCAGAGTAAAAGATCAGGGGCCAGGGAGATGGCTCAGTGGAATAAGTGCTTCCCTGGCAAGCACAAGGGTCTGAGTTCAATTCCCGGTTCCACCAAAAAAAAAAACAAAAAACAGTATAAGATATAGGCATGAAATATTGTCCAAACAATATTAGAGCAAACCTTTCTTTTCAGTGAACTAAGAGATACTGTCCTATCATCTATATAACTACATATGATATATATCATATATATAACTATATATATATGATATCACATATATAAAAATATATATCACATATATAACTATATATGATATCATATATAAAATATGTCATATATAACTCCACATGATATATATACAACTATACATGATATCATATATATAACTATATATCATATATATAACTATATATGATAGATATCATATATAAATTATATATAATTATTTATACTATATATACTTTATAAATATATATATATACACACATATTATCAATTACTCATTTAGCTTCTCCCACTAGTGAGACAATATGACATTTACCCATATGGGTCTCATTAATTTCACTTATGAGTATGGTCTTTAGTTGCATCCATTTGCCTACAAAAGCCTTAAGTTTATTCTTCTTTATGGCTGAGTAGTATGGCATCATATATTTTTTTTAAAAACACATCTTTTGATCCATTCCATGGTTGATGGACATTTGGGTTGTTTCCAAGATTTAGCTATTACACATTGTGCTGCTCTAAACATGGGTGCACAGATATTGCTGTGGTATGATTTTAGTTCTTCTGAGAAGATACTCAGAAGGGGAACAGCTCAGTCAAATGGGACTTTGAATCCTAGTTTTTTAAAGAATCTCCACACTGATTTCCACAGTGGTTATACCAGTCCACACTTGCACCAACAGTGGAGAAGTGTTCCTTTTTCCCCACAGCCCCTCCAGCATTTGTTATTGGTTGATTGCTTGATGATAACCGTTTTTCAGAAATGAGATGGAATCTCAGTGTTGTTTTTAATTTGCAGCTCTCAATTGACCAAAGATGTTGAACTTTTCTTATATATTCATTTGCCATTTGTATTTCCTCATCTGACAGTGTGTTTTCATCCAAGATGTCCATTTTGGGATTGAGTCTCTGAATTTGGGGGCCCAGTTATTTTCAATTGTTTAGATATTCTTATTAATCCTAGACAAAATTCCATGAGAAAACAGGGCTTGGAGGAGCCAGGTGATGGCCCATGGCCACATTCACTTGTTTAAGGCTGAATCTTACTAGCAAATCCCTTCTGCAGATGAATAAAGTTATTGCCAAAAGGAAACCACAAATGAAGGGGAATTGAATGGTACATTGCTTACAGTTTGACAGCTCTGAATTCATTTTCTGATGTAGCTATCATAATCTTAATATCATCCTACTGTAAACTTTGAATTTCTCCCAAAGTACTGAGGAGAAAAGCAAATAGTGACTCACTACAAATATAAGCCATCCCAGAAGAACACTTTAATCCATTCCCATGTGGAGAGCCAAATATCCTCCCTGCCTGCTCTGTAATGGCTGCAGGCAGGGTGGCCAAGGATGTCCAACTTTATTTGATACATTCTGATTTATTTTAACCTACCATGATTTGAAACATTTCACTATTACTACCCAGCATGCTACTGAAAAACACAGACCCAGTTCATTTCCGATTGCTTGACACTGGAGTGTTATACATTAGATTCTTTGATATTTTAATTAAATAAATGTGAGTTACTCTCCTTTATTTATATATTATGTAGAAGCTTTTCTTTTCCGTGTTTATTTCCCCATCACAATGGACAGTGAACACACTATTCTAGGCTCTTTCTTTAGTTCAGAGCAATGTCCATACTCCTCAGCCTGTGAAAGGCCACTCTCCATTTTGTGACTCATGCGCTCAGGCACACTTAGATGTATTTATTACTTACTTTCATTCCAGGATTCCCCGGAAAGCCAGCAGACCCAGGTATGCCAAGGGGGCCCTATGAAAAGAAATCAAGCGCCGGTCAGTCATGTATCCCATTAGTATGTAGGTTGGGTTTTGATTTCCTAAAACATGTCAATCTGTATTTTGACAAATAATGTAAGAAAACTTTGTTTTGTGCTTTAAAAATCATAAATACAACAATACAATTTTATTTCAGGTACCTTCCAACATTGATTTAAAATACTTCTGAAAAATGTAGCTAACCGTATTCACAAACCAAATCCATTTATTTTTAGTTTCACACAAATTACATAGATTACATAGTTCACCAAACTCCTTAAAAGTATCTATTCAGCTACGGTTTTTAGCATTGTAGCTCTGTGATATGCGGTCTGCCTGCAGTAATAGTAACTTCAGCTCACCTCTGTCTAGTTTCTCTCTGGTGTTGTGCGTGAGTTATCCCTCTACATAGGGATGTCTTTGCTGTCTTCATCTTGTCTTCTACAGAACCTGTACACGATTCCTGTCAATCCACTCCTATGTTCAATATTCCTGAGTTGTTCTCATTACCCTAAAGAAAATAGCTCCACACTCCTTAACACAATAAATGTAGTAAACATCTCCTAGAGCTAGCACCTGCCGGCCCATCCAGCCCTACCCTCTTAGCATCTCCCTGAAATCACCGCATGTTTATCTATACATTCTATGGGCCAAACTACCTTCTTGCCCATTCTATATATTTATTTTCCAAGACATGGCTTGAAAATTCCCCTTTCTTAGGTTTTCTTTTATGTTCTTCTTCACTTCAGGTTTAGATACGTCCTCTTCTATCCTGCTATACATCAGTTTATATTCTAGATTGCAGCACTTGGTAATAATTTTATAGAGTGATGCTAATTAATACGTCTAGTTTTCAAGGACAACAACTGTGTACTTAATATATTTTATCTCAAGCATTTACAGCATAACAGGTGCTCTCCAAGTGCTTCTGCATGCGTCCATGAAAGAATGCACAAATTAGTGAATGACTATAAAAGAAACATAACCCACCATTGGTCCAGGTTTGCCAGGCATGCCATGTGCACCTCGCTGTCCCTAATTAGAAGGAAAAAGAACAAGCTAAGATTAAAATTTCTTCAGTATTTTTCATAATGTATTTGCTTTATAAACAAATTCCATGTTAAAAATTAAAGGATAAATATGAATGGTGACTGATTAAAACTGTCACTAAGCTAGCAGCAATAAAAATACACATGTACACAAAAAGTAGTATTAAACACTTTTGCCCATAAGACAACAAAAAATAGAAAGACTGAGACATGAAACTGGTTCAACTGGCTCTTTTGGCTTTAATACATCATGGTCTAACCCATGAGCTCAGAGACAATGAGATTTTGCACCTCTTATCCTTCTTCATGGCCAGGCTAACACAGAAGAGGACTACCTTTGCAAATGTCTACAAGCAAAAAAGCCCACACGCACAGAAATAATTGCCCAGTGAATTTTGTAGACCTCACAGAGGTCCTCCAGGACTGAGGTATTCGCTATCATCTGAAAGTGTCGCAGGCTAAGGGCTCACAGGTGCGTCTGTCCTAGAGCCTGCTCTTGTCTAACGGGACCACCTCTGGCAGGGTGCCCACAGATGCTTGGCTTCCATGCACAAGACTGAGGAGCCCCACAGTCTTCCTGAGTTTTGATGAAGCCTGTTGCAATCACAACAAAATTCAACTTCTCTCTCTCACACAAATGCTGCTTCTTTTGTTCATTCTTTCACAAGTGTACTATTCAAGCACACTTCCCTAGTAAACTTTCTGTGTGCAAATCCTTCTGCTGGGAAAGGAAACCTGACCAAAGGCCTTGACACAATCAATGACAGGCTGGGTGCAAGGAAGTAGACTACACAGGAATTCCTAAGCTGGGTCCCCTCTGGCCTGTTCGTAACAGATGGAGTAAAGGCCCTTTGCCAAGTGGTGCTAGTACAGAGGTAAAGACTGTCGCTGAGCTAGGGCACCAATGTAAAGTAAAGGGCCAGGGGGCAATGTCATTGGCATTTGAAAAAAGTTAAAGAAAAACATCTATAAATTTCATGACAATTTGTGGCTCTTTAGCACATCCACAGCCAAAAGACAGAGAAATACACTGGCAAGTCAGTCCCCATGAGGGGGAGGGATGCTCTATAAATTCTCTTCACAGCTTTTGAAATTTTAGGTTATCCTGTCCAACACTTAAAATTTGAAGTTTAAACCAAAATACAAATATTATTCAAAGAAAACAATATAGCAGCAATTGACCTATTGTTACTCTCATTTAGAAAGCATATTCAGTAAAACAAACCTTAAAAACACTTGAAACACATATCTCTACTATAAATAAAATCAGATAAACTTACAGGAGCTCCTTGCGGCCCAAGTCTTCCTCTTTCTCCAGGCATCCCTCTTGGACCCTGTAGGTAAGAGAAGAAACATCTCCTGAAGTATTTAACGAGAATTCTAGATTGTTTGACTCAATGTAATTATTCATCACACAGCAATATTTCCAGGAACAGTTTTCGATGTGAGAGATTCTCTACCTCTGAAGACATCTACACTACACTAGCACAGTAACAGATTCCACTTAACCTAGAATCGTGAGTGTGATATAGAATGTATATTGTGCTCAAATAATGCATATAGCAAGCCAGTAAGGGCACTTGTCAGTTTAGAATAATGAAATACAAGAAGAACTCTTCTCCAACTGGAAGACTTGTTCTTAAGCTGCTAATTAAGATTACTTCAGTAGCTAATTTTTTTCCCATTTCAACATTCTCTTAATGTTGTCTAAAAATAGAGAAATATGGAAATACATACCAGTGGACCCATGGCACCCATTTGACCAGTAGGACCAGCTTCCCCCTAAAACAAATTGAGATGTAATGCAACATAAGAAACCCAGATTCATATTAACATCTCACAGTTCCATATGGACATAATTTTAAAGGCATGTTTTTGAAGATCCTATTTAAAAAGTGTGCTTTCAATGAGCAATTTCAGAATTTATTGCCTGATCTTAAAACTAAATGAAAATTTGGTCTCTATGGAATTAGTCTAAAGTAGATATAAACAAGATCAATAAAAACTATCATACATCGCTAAAAAATAATTATATGTCTATGTCTCATCTGTCTAAAGTAAAATTTTACCAAATTAAAATTGACTTCATGTCCTCTGAAGGCCTATTTAGAAAACTTAGCAGTAACATTTTAAAGCCAAATGTTTTTCCACATGTGCATTTTATGATCCTTCCCACTGAAAACTCTTTCATATTTCCTTGATTTTTTCTCTCTGGTTATAGAGATAAATAATGTAGGGAAAGAAACAATGGCTAGAAGTTGCTAGAATTAAAACAGCAATGAATAACATAGCAAATTGGATTCACCTATTAATTAATTAATATTTTATGTATGTATTTTTGTACAGAGACTCACTACAGAGCTTAGACTCACAGTGATCCTCCTATTTCATCCTCCCCAGTGCTGGGATTATGGGTGTGTCCCACCACACCCAGTCTTGGTGACCTGCTCAGCACACCCAGGGGCAAGGATGTCATGGCTTGTGGTGCCAGGGATCAAACTCTGGTCCCTGCACTTGCCTAAGTAGGCACTTATCTTGCTGAACTATCTTGCCGGCCCTCCTATTAATTTACTTATACCTTTATTTCCTACAAAATTATTGCAAAACTTTGTAGGCACTAGAAATGCGAAAGTGAGGTTAAATTGAGGGTTGTGCAATGACCTTAGCACCAGGGGCTCCAATTTCACCTTTTGGACCTTCAAGACCTTTGTGTCCCTGAGAAGAAAAATTTAAATTAGTACGTATATCCTGTTCTTGTTTCAACTTTCCAAAATCATAAAGGAAGAATCAAAACTAAGCTCACAGAAAGTGCATTATCAAAAATATAGAAACTCAAAGTTATTAGTCAAAATAATCCCAAATTCTTAATAGTTTTTGAAAAAGCAAATTCAAAAGAAATTAGTTTTCTCATTTATATAATATTCTCAACTTGCAATACTGATAATTATCAAATTGTAGCTTCATGAAAATTTAACCTGCAGCAACAAGTGAAATAGTACCACTTTTAAAGATATATAATCACAAAATATGTGTTACATTTTAATATTAGAATAAGATTAATATAAGAATAATTTTAATATAAGAACCATATTCAAAATATAATTGGTTCTCTGTATCCACAGGTACTGCATCTATGGATTCAACCAATGAAGTTTTGAGATTATCTAAAGAAAAAGTTAGTGACTTATATTGTGCAGTTAGCCTATGACAGCTGCATCTATACTGAGTGTGTACAGATTTCTCTTTCCTAATTATTCTCCAAACAATGCAGTACATTGAATATTTTCATAAAAGTTACATTGCATTAGGTATTTTTTTTACAATTTTTTAAAATTTTTATTTATTTGGTACAGGGTCTTGCTATGTAGCTAAAACTCATAATGATCCTCCTGTCTCAGCCTCCCTAGTGCTGGAATTACAGGCATGAGCCACCATGCCCGATTTCAGTGGCCAGCTCCATGGGCCGAGGATTCCGGGGCTGGAATGGCATGGCATGCGGCACTGGGGATCAAACCCAGGTCCTCGTGCTTACCAGGCAGGTGCTTAGACTGCTAAGCTATCTCTCCAGCCTGTATTGGGTATTATAAGTGATCTAGAGGTAATGTGACACAGATGAGAGGATGCGCCTCTATAATGTGCATCTCCTACATCACTTCATACAAGAGAATTGTGTATCTCTGGACCTTGGTATCCTTGGGAGGGCCTGGAGCCAATCCTTGCAGATACAGAGGAACAATGACATTTAATTATTTATATATCAGCGAACATTCTAACTAACTCAACTGCTTGAAACGGATTAGTAAGACTCATACTAAATGAATATCAGACTCACTTTCAGATAGAGAAAAAAGGAAAAAAGAAAGAATGAAAGAAAGAGAGAGAGGGATGGAGGAAAGAAAGAGAAAGAAAGAAACTGACCTATATATTATAGTGTGGAAGAAACACATATTACCTTGAGTTACAAATGAATCATTCTATAACTTTCAAAACTGGGTTGCCCGAGTTCCTCCTGTGACCTGGTGCACTCTCTACGTGAATTATGTCATTTATTCCAATAATCCCTATTTTCTTAACTGCGTTTCCTATTAGCTGAAGCTGCTGGCCAGAGACCGCTTTCATGCATCATTGTATTCTCTTTTGTAGCCTAGCATCTAACGCAGAGTCAGAACTCAAACTCTATTTCTTTATAAAATCAAGTGAAATTCATAGGAAATGTAAAAGAACATTGTGATTTCACTAACCGGCAGTCAACCGTGCAGCCACAGCCAGTTAAGGACAACTGGCAAAGGGAATTGTAAAGACATCTAAGATAGGGATCACAGACCCTACTCAGTAGATTGTGGTGTCTGAGAGGCCTACCAGGGCCTGAACTTACCCTGTGACCCTTCAGGCCTGGAAGCCCAGGAGCCCCAGGAAAGCCTCGAGCCCCCTAGGGAAAAATTAGATAAGGCATTTTAGAATCATAAATATGAATAGAAAATAAAAAATTTTCAAGACAAAATCCAGTACATGGTCTTGACCAACAGAGCGGCACACTTTTATCCTGCAGCAGGTACCTGGGGATTAAAAAGCAACAAAGCAAACACAGAGATGGAAACATGCCTCTCCCAGAAGGGCACACAACCCCCAGCTACTGGTTTGATGACCTTTGCAAGTGCTGAGATGGTCTCATCGTGTCATTATTAGCGGTAGGAAAAAGTCTGTGTGAATCAACATGTTGTATCCTAATTGACCAGGTCATTATATAGGGAAAGATTCAGAAGATGAACGTAAGAAGAACCATTTTTTCCACTTTATACTGTGTCTTGTTTCTGGTGCAAGAGTAAACTACTTTGTAGCCAGCCAGTGCTTGTTATTTTCCCTGAATTTCTGAACACTGGCTGCATGATACAGTGGGAAGGACAGTGTGATGCTATAATAACACACAATTTTTGTGGAGATTTGAGGACAGTCTTTGCTCTAATTCCTTAAAAATAAATGAAGTGAAATAGTCAACAGAAAATGTGAGAATCGCTTGGTTCCTTGACTCGATAATTTCTAAATTTCTGCCAATTTTATGTCTCTCCCACAGAAACACAATAAACTTTTAAAAAACTATTGTAATACAACAAAAATCAATTCAGTGGTACAACTATTTTGAAACAATGTTTTCAACTTTTTCTTTATGTTAAAATAGATAATGGTCCTATGACCTAATTATTCCCTTATTTTTGTCTCCTACATTAATTTGGCTTGCATTGAATTTCTATTCCACTGCCACCAGTAGATTTTGTTCCCTGACAGCTCAGATTGATGTTTTAAATTATTATCAATTATTAATTAACATCATTAATCTTCCTATCCTTGCCATGTACTCTTAGGCCTAGATGGTGGGCACTTGATGAACAGTCACTGGTAGACAACTAAATGGAAAAAATCTTTAATATTTCATAGTTCCATGGCACTTTTAACCTTCCCCAAGGATCCCTTTCTCGGGTGTTAGCAGTCAGACGTAGAACTTAAAGTCCTCATGCCACATATCACAAGCCTCATCCACTCTCTACTAAGTGGACGAATAAGAAACTTGAGAAATTAAATCCATATGCTAAAGTGAGAGTAATAATTCCTCCATGACTTCATGCAAGGAAAATATTTCTTTAGTGTTTTGAGAGTATCAGAGTAGAGGTACACTGAATCCGCTCTCTGAACAAATGAGTTCCCACTAATTCTTCTGTTTACATAACCCTGCTTAGGAATCCTCTCCTGCCAAGAATCCTCTTTAAGTTTGCATCTAGAGTCCTCCCTTTTCCTGAGATCTGGCTTCCTTCCATCCGGGCCAGACAGGCAATGCACACCCATCTGAGCCTATAGGTGAATTACTGAGATATGTTACTTCAAATAGTTCGTTAACTTCAGTGTTCTGGGGTGTGGGACGGAAATTCTCCTGCGATTACATATCCCTAGCATAACAAGAAAGTGAACCAGATGTCCCAGCGCTCATAAAGAATTCTCATTCTGCTGACCCAGGACTGTCATCGCCACACAATCACACGTGGCTTTGCTGAGCTCGCGGAGCGCATCTGACTAGCTGCTCACAGAGGCTTCCACCGTGAGCGAGAGTGCGGCTTGCGGAGGACAGCTGTGCTGATAACTAAACCTCATGCCTCCATCTGCATCTCCTTTCCAGACTGACGAATGGAGGAACAAAGGAAAGGGAGCATGGGGAAGGGTCATTGGTTTCACAACTGAAATCATACAATCCTTAGAGCCCTGCAAATTCCCGCTAAAGGTATTCATTTGTTTAAAAGCAAATAATCCCTAGTACTGAACCTCGTCGACTTTCAGAATGTAGATAAATGCAGTACTGTGGGTTGTGCTCAGCGGCAGGAACATTAGGAAGTGAGAACACACCGGATGGAGCAGGCTGGAGCAGTTTAGGGCCATGGGGCAGTATAAACCATCAATCAGAGCAGGGAGGCCAGAGAGAGTGGTGCTTGCTTATCACGCCCCAGCGGCCCTGTTTTTGTGCAGCACTCACTCAGCACGACCTAGCAAAGCAAAGTGAGGAGCGACAGGCAGGAGGGTGCAGGGTCGTTCAGATGGCTCAGCTCCTGAATTCTGGGGCAGAGGGGGAGCCACGGAGCTGTCCCTTTAGTGAGTCCAGAGGGAAGAAAACAGCTGTGCTGGAAGGCTGGCAATCATTACATCTTGGCCTAAGATTTTAGGGCCCAGAATATTAATCAAGACTCTCTGGCAACATTAGATCTTACGGAGCAGCCAGAGGCAACTTGTCTGTAATTTATCATTGGAAATGATAAACAAGTAACAAGTTCTTTCGGGCCATTGTTTCAGACATGCGGGATAATTCAAAATAACAAATAAGTAGGATTGAAATGTTGGAATTGTCAAAAGGCAAGGGTTATGACTTCTGAATTTTTTTTTCTTATTTTCTGAAAATGTGATAGTCAGTTTGGAGAATATTTGTGACACTCTATTCCATATTAGGTTATAATATAACTCTCTGGCTCTAGGGTTAGTTATTCCTACGGGGCCAATATGAAGGAGGGAGGTACAATTAGATGGAATGCTAGCTAAAAACATCTTATGATTTTTGATGTCTTCACACAGGAAACATTACTTGGGCACCTGCATTTAGTTAGTGTCTAATACATGACCATGCAATTAATTGTGAAGTAGTTTAATGTTCTTTATTTCTTGACTTTTATCTTTATGTCATTACTTTGAAGAAGTACAGACTTACGGGTGATCCTGTGAATCCCACATCGCCAGTGTTTCCGTTCCTACCAGGTTCACCCTTAGTGAGGAAAAACATGGGTGGGTTACAAGGATTAAAACATTCTTCTGTTAGCCTAGATCACAAATACACTGCAGATTTAAAGTCTTTAGAAAGTTTGTGTGCAAAGCTCCACACCATATAAAAAAGGAAACAAATAAATGAAATTCTAGGCTCTGACCGCAATCTCTTCTGCACCTCAATATGTGGAACTTTCATCATTTTATACAGGAGAATCATTGGCTATAAACTTCCCTGCCTGATGTAACTCACTGTTTTAGGACCATTGAAATTCACATACGTAGCTACACATGTGCCAAAAACATGGTTCCTTCAAATACTATCTACCGGTCAATGAAAAAAATAACCTACCATATTTATTCTATCTCAAAACTTAGTGTCATCTGCTTAAACAAATACTGTAACTCAGAAGTAAAAAGACTGCATTTATTTCATTTAGCGTTGCACATAAAAAATGCCCTTCCCTAATTTAGTCTCAATTTTGCCACAACTAAGAATCTAGGAAATCAAATACATTGTTTCACATTCTTCTCTAATTACTTATTATTACCATTAATCTCTGTAGTCATAGTTCCACTTTAGGGATCCATATTGACACAGGAAATAGGTATGATGTGTAGTATAGGTCCATAATCACTTATACTAACACAATTTCTAAACTTCATTTCATTAAGCTCTCATAATGAAATGTTGCTCTACATGAAGGGCAATGTATTCTTTTTTCTTTCAGGTCAGTTCAGTAGCTCCGTGAACAAGGGTTCTAGAATATGAAATCCTACACTCTCCGTAGGTGGCTGTTTAGACCATGACAACAATTTGGATAGCACTTACAGAAATATTAATCCAGAGAATGTGGAAGAGAAACAGCTCTTAGTAGAACACAATCAAAATTAAGGTCCTTTTACATATTTGTATACTTTCATTCTGAATTCTCTGCTTTAGACTGAATTTAATGGAAGGTAAAAGGGTGAGGAAAGTGAAATTGGAGTGAAAGCATTCCTGTTACAGCTGCTCCTTGGTCTCCTTAAAACTTCAAAGCAAAGTAGAAAAGAAAACTCACATCTTCCCCGGGCTTCCCAGGGGGGCCCTCGGGTCCACGTGCACCAATTGGACCCTAATGATAAAACAAGACAGAAGGGGAACATTAACATTTACCTCTCATTGCCAATAATAAGTCTAAAATACTGTTGAAACAATTAAAAATACCAAGGACAACAGTTTTACTAATGTTTTGAATTTTATGCTTTATGTCTCAAACCATGCGCTCAATAGGAAAAAGAAGTTCAGCTCCACAAATGCAGACTTCAGTTGTGTCTGCCTAGGTTCAAAGCCCTTGGTCCAGTTCTCCCACATAAGGAACACAAGCCTAAGCGAAGTCCGCAGGACAGGGCTCCCAAACCGCATAGCTATTTCTCGCAATGCCGTAGAGGGCCTGGGGACATCACTGCCAGGGTGACCGGAGTGTGACTGGGTCCACACGCTTACTTGACATTTACCATTGGTCCTGGTTCACCAGGTTCACCAGGAGGTCCTGCTGGTCCCGTACCACCCTGTAATTGAAACCAAATGATACAAACTAAACAAAAGAAAACAAGGTATCAAATCCTATGCTATAGGCAAGACACAAGGCAGTTGTTCAGATTCCTGGATTTGTCATTTTCTAGGCATATGACTTTGGGCAGATTGTTTAATCTGCCTATAGCTTGGTTAACTAATCTGAAAAGTGGGTGTTCAGTCAATGGTAACTATCACCATCATCATCAACAGCTATTTTTGTACTCATCACACATGGTTATATCAGTATGGTTAACCTTGATCTACCTAATTTTTTCTATCCATAAAAAACTACTTCTTATGCCTGTTGAATCATTCCTCCAGTAATAAAATAGTCCTCCGTCACAATGAGGCATAAAAAGCATTTGCAATTATGTTCTTTCTAAAGGTCTCACAATGGGATCTGCTTGACTTCTACCTACCATAATGCCATACGGTAGTCTCCTGACTGAGCTGATGTCATAGCCTCATACTCAACTATGGAAATGTTGTTCATCACAACATGAGCTTAGCAGCTATTACTTCAGAGGCAAATCCATGTAAGTCCTGCTAGTATTAGGAGTTCATCCTATAAAGAAATTATGTGATAAAAATGTAGCATCATGAAGAAACTCTGAAAATATATTGCATCTATTTCCAGGAGAGTGAAAATTATTTTCAACCATTAAAAGTGAGCATTATAATGATGTCATTTAAAAACCAGCCCAGAGCAATCATATCCCACAGACCTTTGTGTACACTAGTGCTCTTGTAGTATGTAATTTAATTATAAACAGACTTACTTGCTGCCCTTGTAAACCTTGAGGTCCCCTTGGGCCAACAGGACCCTTAAAACAAATAAGAAGAAAAGTTGCATAGTGTTCATGACAATTAATACTTTTTAAATGTTGGATCAGCTTTGGAACTGAAAACATGAAGCAATAGCAGAGAGAAGGGATAACGTTTTCCATCTGTGCTCATCTAGAAGGCAGATAAAGGCGGGGAGAGAGATTAAAGCCTGGGCAATGTTCAGGGTGATATTATACAGCCCTCGGTGTCACAAAGAGAAAGTGTGCCTGCACAACCCCAGGGCCTTTGGAACTGGAGCCCTGGCCTGCTAAAGAACAGCTCTGTTAAACCCTGATATCTGAAGAAGGTAAAATCTTGGCAGGAACAAAGTGTTATCGAACTCTCTGTTTCATTCTTTAGTTTTACAGCAGATAGCTTTCATAACTTAAATGAATATGCTGAAGTAAAAGCCTGTGAAGCCAACAGTAATAGTTAGATTATTTTGAATGTTGGTTTAAAATTATCTAGGACCCTAAGCTTTCTGAATTTTCTTTCTTCCACAGCGTGCACAGGCGGTACCAACCTAGGTATCCTTCCTTTCTTGTGAAATGATTACCCTGAGGTGTAGCAAACGGAGGCAAAGGAAAATGCAATGTATACAAATTTAATATTGCATTAGTGATTGTACAATTTTCACAATTTTAAACTTTATAAAATACAAAAAAAAAAGAAAATACAATGATTTGGCTAAAATTGGGCTTATATTTATGACAAAGAATCTCTTTTTTCTTAAATACTGAGAATCTACTTTTTTATTAATTTTATTGAAAAACAAATAGCAATGAGACAGTTTCAAAGCAAACTAGTAGGACAATTTCAATAATTAATACATTGACTATTGTTGTCTTCATAGTGGTTATTCATAGTACAAGATACAGACATGCTATCCTGTCCAAACACTATTAGTACAAATCTTTCTTCTCATTGAATTAAGAGAAAGTAGCTGTATATCTATCCTATTTTGTATATACAGATACAAAATGGTCCTTCATTTGTATCCCCTTTTTTTGCTTAGTTTTATCAGAGATGGGTGTTCCATTGCCATTCAAATATTGTAGGTGAATGAATTCAGCAAAATAATCCAACATAGTCCAGTAGTACATAATAGTAGTGGGCTATGCATAGGACTGGCAAAGTCAGAAGTTCTTGACTTGAGCCTTTTACAGCTCAGCATATTAATATGGCTTTACTTTTTATACCTTGCTTTTATACTTTTCTGCTGGATGGTTAAGACCAAGATAAAGCAAGACCTACATAACAAGACATGTCAATTCTGTATCTGACAAGATCAGTCAAATCCCCTCAGGATGTAGCCTGAAACCCTGTACCTCAGATTGTAGAACCTTTGTCAGTGTCAGCCATGTGGATGAGTCATGGCCATTGCTTGGCCAATGTGCTCTCTGTGAAATCCTGAGAGAATGTTTTCTCTCCATGTGACTCTCCTTAGGCACACTCTACATCATCGATCACTTTCCTCTTTGGCCCCATAATCTCCTTGATCAGAAAATTTGGGACACTGCCGAGTTGCATCATGTTACAGTACAGGTTCTCCTATGTCCTGAGTCCTCGCTGAGCTTGAAAGGCTAGGGACAAAATGTTGGCTGTCCTTGTAGCCCTTCTTTTTCTCTAATCTTTGGTCTGCAAACTTAAGTAGCTAACTCTCCAGGAGAGAAGCTTAATGATATTATTACCCTAGAACATAGCCAGGTGAGCTTAACCTTACTATCTGTGTGACAAAGAAACTTAAATTTTCATTTAAAATTGATCAGATATTTTAACTAGTAAGAAAATACAAAGTTCCCTTAAAAATAAACACATGTCTAATATAGACTCCAATTGCATAAAAATAAATATCTCATAAAAATATCTGAAGCTAATACTTGAATGACAGTACACTGCTAAATATGTATACAAGTGCTGCTTAAAGTATTCATAATTAGGGCCTTCAGGCTGGGCACGGAGGTGACCATCAATGAGGTCTGACTGTATACTTGTTGTCTGAAATTCTACCAATCCAGAATGATTTTAAATTGTTACAATGAAAGAAAGCACGAGAGGTAACTCGAAAAGTGTTAATTCATTTGATGAGATTGCATTGCTCTAAAGGCAAGCTAACTGCCTGATGAAAAATGGGAATTTTTCTGGCAGTTAACGAAGTTCAAAAAAAGATGGAGATTGTGAGAAAGCCTTGCCCAGAAGCCTTGGAATTGTTGGAATAAGACAGCCAGTGAATATTAAGTAGAAAGCAATAAAATTTAAGCAGCAAACATCTCTTATTTCAAACTTTTATAAAATCATTATTTCTAAAAGCTGCTAATAACAGTTTTTTTCCAATTAAAAGGAGCAGTTTTGTAGTGCTGGCAGTCATTGTCTTAAAATGCATTATTTTCTTCCTTTATTACTGCCCACAAATAATTTGTGTGGCTACAAATAAAAATCTGCTCACTTGTTAAATCACACATAGTAGGGTTTGATAAATAAATGGGTGGATGAATGACTGGGGAAGTGGGTGGGTAGATGGATTGGTGGATGGATGGATGGATGGACAGATATGTATGATTGGATGACTGGATGGAAGGATGGCTGGACAGATGGGTGAGTGGGTGGGTGGGTGGATGAATGGATGGATGGATGGATGATGGATGGGTGAGTGGGTGGGCGGGTGGGTTGGTAGGTGGATGGATGGATAGATGAATGAATGGGTGGGTGGGTGGTGGATGGATGGATGGATGGATGGATGGATGGATGGATGGATGGATGGATGGATGGATGGATAGATGGGTAGATGGATACGTGGGTGGATGGATGGATAGATGAATGGATGGACAAATGGGTGGGTGGATGTGCTTGAGAAGATACATGCTATTTCTTGACTAGCTGTCTCAAGCCTCTCACTTTCTAATTATTTGTCTACAAATACTTTGGTTACCAGTAAAATGCATACTTACCACGGAACCAGGCATGAATCCTACTTGACTCCCAAGTCCGGACTTCTCATCCAGCCCAGCCATCTGAGCTGAAAAGGGCTGTGAAAGCAACGTGTGGACCATTTTCATGTTAGAGCCATGTAACGTCATACTTTTAAAATTCAGGGATGTGCACCTTCGGCAGTTTTTACAGAACAACTTTTCTAAGTGTTATTTTTATATCTTTGACTTTAAAGCCTGGAAATAAAATTCAAGTTGATTCTTACTGTATGTGCTATGAATTGACCATTCTTCCTCAGGGAATTTTACAACAGGACAAGTGTCTGAGAACTGATAAAGCATGGATCACTCTGATAAGCATTCAGTCTAATGGATTTGGGCTTTAAACCTCTTTATCTGACTTCCAATCTTGATCTGACCATGCCAAACCTCTCAGACAAAGCTTAAAAATACCCTTAAAACATGTGCTCAAGATACTGCGCTCCATTTCAGTCAATTTTAAGTAAATGATCACATCCTTTCTTTGATCACGGCATTTGAACTGTAAATTGTATTTATAAAAATTGATAAAACTTTATAATCTTTTAAATAACTCTCTGAATGTTCCAAGGATGAGAAGCAGCTTTATCTGTTCTCTTGACCAAAACTGTTCTTCTCCATCCCAATAATTATATTAATTTCCAGAGCTTAGAGAGAAAAAAGAGATACACATACGAGATACACATATTATCTGAAAGATGAAGCTGGCAGTTCTTGAGAATCAGCTGAGAGCCACATGCATGGACTAAGGTGAAACACCAGCGGCACTCAGAGCCACACGTTCCCTGGGCTGGGCAGACCTCCTCGCTCCAGATCTCTAGAACTCACAGAGGCCCAAACGTTTTGTTTTACTTCACCCAAGAAACTAAAATGTAGGAAGCAAACAAGCAACATATTTAGTGACGTTCTCATGTATGTCATCACAGACAAAAGAAAAAGTCTTAATTATACAAAAATAATCTCATGTGCTTATTTCTTTCTCATCGTATGATTCACATCCCTTATTTTTATTTATCAGTACGTGATCCACAGTACATAGTGCTTACATTCCACAGTCCCCAAATTTTTTGGCCCAGGGACTGGTTTCCTGAAAGACAATGTTTCCATGGACAGGGCTGGGATGGGGGTGGGGTTCAGGATGATTGCACAGAGCCCGTACCCCAGAACCCTGGTGCAGCAGTTCCCAGCAGAGTCTGCTCCTGTGAGACACAGAGGCTCCAATTCATCCTTAATTGGATGGGGGCACAGCTCCGGGGTTAACACTAGTAGCAGGAGTAGCTATAAAGCCAGAAGAAGCTTCCCTAATCTATTTGCCATCCACCCCTGCCCTGCTTTGTGGCCTGGGACTGGGATTAGTCCATGGCCCAGAGTTTGGGAGCCCAGATGACATACATCTTGAGGAACTGGCACATAAATATACAGCATCTTTTCTTTTACTTTGTCTTTTCTGTCATTTATGTATTTGGTACAGGGTCTCACCACACAGCTCAGACTCGTGGTGATCCTCCCTTTTTCAGCCTCCCCAGAGCTGGGATTACAGGCACGCATCACCAGGCCTGGACTTGTTCACCAGCTCGGTGCCCCGGTGCTCCCACACCCCAGGATGGTGGGGCCTGCACAACATTCGGATCAAACCCTGGTCCCTGCACTTGCCAAAGCAGACACTTCATCCACTGAGCTATCTCACTGGCCCAACCATAGGGCATCTGAATTGATTTTGCTTCCCGTTTCTCTCCCAGGCTTCCTTTCCAGTCACATTCTCATGGTGGAAGGATATAGTGTTGATTTTGTCAGCATTCTGAGCCCCAGCTTCAGCAGAAGAGAGAAGACTCTCTCCAGTCCAAAGAGGCACAGTGCTGGTGCTCCTTTAGGGTCACAGAAAAAATGGAGTTCTTGTAGTCCAAAACTGACATTGATAAAGCCATCCTCATTTAAAGTGATGCTTTAAAAGATGCTACTTCGAATTTTCCAGGAATCCATTGTTAATGTGCTGGGTTTGCTTGTTCAGCCCAGTGTGCATTCCTATAACAACTCTTACAGTCCAGCATCAGGACCTGGGTGGACACAGGCTACACTCGCAACAGTAGAGTGATAATAATTTAGCACTTGATCAAGTGTGACACTGAACAATGCACAACTCACCCTGCTCATGCCATCGGGTCCTGGGTGAGAGGGATGTCCAGGAGGCCCTGGAGAACCAGGTTGACCAGGAATCCCCGGTTCTCCATCAATTCCCTGAGGACCACGAGGACCCTGGGAAAACAAATCAGTATCAATGAGAACCACAGCCAAAAAACACAAAAGTGTCATCTATTGTAAACACAAATGGCAATCTAGCCACTTCATCAGCTATGTGGACACTGCCGACTTTGACACGGATCAGAACTTCTGCCACCGAGACCCAGTCCAGGAAAGACATCTACTTGATGTGTTAAACCCACACAGCCTTCTGGAAACCGTTTTCAGTTCAACAGCACTCTAGACCGTGCTTCCTTGTTTGGGTGAGTTTTATTGCTCAAGGGTACTTAATCAACAATTTTTAAATTTGCTCATCGGTATTAGATTATAGTTAACTATGAATGTGCCTGCTTAACTATTTTCCCTCCAAACCCCAAAAATGTGAGGGCCTCTTGGTTGAAGTTCATGGGTCTTTCATCTTGCAGTTATTAAATGCTTTGCATAGTTTCTAGTTCACAGCAGACACCCAATGTATGTGTATTACATTTTCACATTTTAGCCCTCTGTAACTTTTCAGGTCTGGCATATTTTTTTGTCCTTCCCAATCTAAGAGGTAGAAAAGATGAGTGAGAAATTAGAGGCCCAGGCACTGTGATCTGGCCACGTCTGGTCCTCCGAGAAGTGAGTAATGATTCCAGCTGCCAAACTCCACCCTTGTCCTAACCTACATTCCCAGGGCAGCTTGGGAAACAGCCACGTCCTCAGTTCTGGAAGAGCTCCATCCCCTGCCCTCGGCATTCCCACAGACTTGGGAAGTGTGCTCTGCCTTGTTAATCTTAAAGGAGTCTTAACACACTTTAAAAGGAAAGCAAGCAGCATAGAAGCCATAAGGGATATACTTTCTGCCACTCAAGGCAGGGATGGAGAAAAAGTGGTACATGATGTCAGAGCCTCATAGTGAAAGAAAGTGCCTCACACTTCTCCAAGAGAGGAGCTGCTGGCTAGAAAGCAATTACACAATAAGCCAGCAATTCGAGGGAGTTAAGTGTAGGATGAGCCACGGTGGTGGAGACGGCAGCTTGCGTATGGTGGTGTGGGGAAGAACAATGCAATGGCAACTGAAAAATTGAATTAATATATGTTTGAAAATAGCTTATATATTTACTTATGTTTAATCTTAACATTTTAAATATATTTCCCCATAGTGCATATGTTATGCATATGCTAGTATTCTAAGAAGCAGGTATGTCATACAGACCCATGCAGGCATGTGCATTTCTTAGAATAGAAAGATAAATAAGCAAACTGATTCAAAGAGAAGTGAATAATAAATAAGCCTAAAAACTCGTATGGTGGACTGGGGAGATAGCTCAGTAGAATAAGTGCTTGCCTGGCAAGTGCAAGGTCCTGAGTTCAATCCCCGGTAACACACACACACACACACACACACACACACACACACTCATATGGTAACAAAAGATTTCTTAGAAAATCAGTGTCTTATTTTTGGCATCAAGCCCTTTCTGGTCTTCAGCCACTGAAAGTTCCCTTTGCTCTTTTCATGACAACAGCAGCAGTGAAAGGTAAGTACAGTCCAGGATTCCTAATCGCATGGATGTGGATGTGGTTGGAACTGTGGATAATGGACAGCCGTGTAGCCGGGGCAATGGTTTCACGTATTTATAGTCTTGTGTGACAAAACTTTTGATAGGTGTTCGCAGCACTCGATGGCTAAAGGCTAATAGGTTATTTTATTCAGAAAGCAAGTTAAAACTGTCTGTGCTCTAAGCATGTCCAAAGACAAAATATTAAATTATATGTAGCGTCTATGTGAGCAGAGACAAGTTTGGGTAATGCTCATTCTTCAGATAGCTTGTGTGTTTCTCTCAGCCGCTGTGATTGCTACTGATTCGATTTCAAAATCCCACGTTGTCACTGACTTCCGGTTTACTCAGACCTTCCTGGAATTCACTGTAAATAACCTAGAAGGTGTTAATCTTATCTTTAGGTTAAAATTAATAAAGAGATGAAGATTATCTGAAGCTAAGTGAAGACAAGAGTGCAAAAGAAAGAAAAATATAATACAGAAAGTTTTACAGGTAAATAGTAAAAATAAATTATGATTGAGGAATTATAAAACACTAAGATCACATTTTTATCTTTCCAAATGAAGTGAGTCACATAATCTTTAGGTTAAGGTAAATTTTCTACTTGCTATCATCCCCACCCTTGCCCACCATACTACAGTAGAGTGTCTCTGGCCACAATCCGCAAAGTACAGTACTCACACCAACTAAAAGTACTTGAGGATGGCCACTAGGTGGCGGCCTTAAAACGTTCACAAGTAGAGAAGAGCCCTCCAGAGGAACTTTATTTGAACCTTGGCTATTGCCCTTCAACAATTAACACTATCACGCAAAAAGGCGTCCCACGCATGTGTGCACTCACACGCATACATTGCAGGATGGTAGAGCTGCAGGAACTATTACATCAGATGAGAAGCTGATATCTTAGGGGTAAAGTGTCATGTGTGTCACAAATCAGCACGCTACTGATGGCCCATGTACTGATAGGCTACTACTTTGTCACTCTGAAGTGACAGGGATAACACACTTAAAACTGAGGACATGCAATCAGAGAAGCTACAAAGATCACTGGCTAGTACTGAAGGCGTCCAGAGAATCTCTGTCGGAAGCTCTCAATCCAGAGCACCTTTACCTGCATTTGGCAACATGGAGACATTTTCAGTTCTCCCCCTGGTGCGGGTAGGCACTGCCCCGACACCCCATGCAGGGTAGAAAAGTATCCTACGATGCATGAGGAGTTATCTGGCCCAAATGATCAGTGGTGGAGAAGCTGTGCTGCACCTCGTGTGCCTCACCGTGGTTTGATCAAACAGGGTCAGGAACATGGTACTTTGGATTCTAGGACCACCCTGCATTGTGACAGCAAGGACTTCAGTCCAGCTGAGCAGCTCCTGGTGGCTGGGGGTGAGAAACAGAGCACGACCAGTAGGTACACTATGAGCATATGCTGCCACTGGGGTCAGCACCACAGGGGGAGTCACCCGAGGGACAGCATCAAAAGTGGTGCATTTTAGAGTTTTCCTAAAAAGAGTTGTTGAATTTGTGCCATCCCACCATTGCTTCCTGGCGTAAGCAGAGGAGCCGATTTGCTACTTAGGTATCTGCCAGGATTACCTGGCCTCCTCATAAATGGCTTATTTCTATTTACACAAACACACACACACACACACACACACACACACACACCCCAAACACAATTCACATGGAGTGTATCATACCTGACCATGATAAAATGAGCTTCTCATACACTGAGGCAAGTATGGCAGAGAAAGAAAGAAGGTTGGGGAGAAGGATCATTAGACCCTGACCAGGAATTCGGAAAGTCTGGCCACTCCTGCCATCATCATGTCCACCTGGACTTGGACATACTGTTACCAATTAATTACAATGACAAACACACTAATGCAAAACCTTTTCTGCGTAACCATCCCCCCTCTTGTCTCTGAATCCATCGTCTACCCAAGGCCATCACGCAAGAACAAAATCTGAAGAGCAAGCAGAGTGTGAACCGCCACCACCACCAAGGAGCTCAATCATAGCAATGAAGGGTGGAGAACAAAACAGTCGCAATAAGGCCTTGTCGACCCCCACCACGGGCCTGCCTGCAACCTTGCTGGGCACCGATCCTCCACATGCCTATGAGTACCATCTGGGACACCAGTGCCACTGCAGAAAAGGTATTGACTTCACACTATTTGGGGAAAGGTGTAGACGCATAAAATAATGACAGAGGTAAGACTAACAGCAAGAGTTCTTGGCAACGTCATCTACTGGATGTTTTGCACCCATTTATGTATCAAAGTAAGCTATACTTTCTTGCTCTTTCATCCATTTAGATATGGATAAACTCACATGTGAGAGACTAAAAATCCATTGCAAGTTGTGTTTCAGTGGACACTGTTAGAAAGAGTGGTAATCAACTGAAACAAATTTTTGGGCTACTGGACAATATTGGAATATTTTGCTGAATTCACGAAACTACAATATTTAAATGACAATGGAATACCCATCTCTGACAAAATTAACTAAAAAGGGAGGATACAAATGACCAACCATTTTGTATCTGAATACTCAAAATAGTTAGGATCGATATATAGCTTCATTCTCTTAATGCAATGAATAGAGAGATTTGTTCTAATAGTGTTTGTGGACAGGATATCATGTCTGCATTTGGTACAATGAATAACCATTACGACAACAATATGCAATGTATTAATTATTGAAACTGTAATCAGTTTCGAAACTGTCTCATTGCTATTTGTTTCTCAATAAAATTATTTTTTAAAAAATCATGAGATAATTATATCAATACATAAATTAATCTAATTATTTAATATGTATTTTTATGGGTACCTATTATGTAATGTCATGTTTTATTCCAAGGGTATAGAGGTGATTTGCTCAATTCAAGGACATCCTTTTTGTCTTGTAACAAGTTTATCAATTTTTTTTTTTTTTTTTTTTTTTTGGTGGAACTGGAGATTTAACTCAGACCCTTGCGATTGCCAGGGAAGCACTTATTCTACTGCGTCATCTCCCCAGCCCCTATCAATTTTTTTTTTAATTGCTCTTTGGATATCTCTGTAGCAGCCATTCAACAAAAAAGGCCAAGTACTAGAGTATTACTAGAGTACTATGCTAAGTGGCATAACTTTGCTGTGTATCAACTTAAAAGTAAGTTTTATCCTCAAATAATTTATTTTCTATTATCCAGTCTTATTATCTCTGTAGCAACCACAGATCACAGAATCCAGAGGCTTTTGGTGAGTGGTACACTCTGGACCTTGCTTACTCGTGGGAAATAACTTCAGAGAGTAGGAAGTGTTGACCACATTTCCTCAAATTCTACTACATCGAAATTTGAGCCTATAAAGAACAAGGCTCAAATTAATTGCATTATCTATTAAGATAGTAGGCATTAGAAAATGTGACAATTTTCTTTGCACCAAGAGGGCTACAAAGTCACTCCCATGGCTGGATTCTCCATGATGTTTGGGGCAGGTGACAGAGCAATGGTCGCTAGCTTCTCTCGATACCAGGCGATCTGGCACAGACTGCCCTCTAGGTACACATTTGTGCAGTGAGGTCCCTGTCCACTTACGGGTCTTCCTTTGGGGCCTCGCTCTCCTCTTGGTCCCTGTGACCCTGGAGGTCCCTGAAAAACATAACGATGATTACACCTATAGACATTTATATTTTGGAGGTGTTCATTATAAAAATTAGTTTGACAAAATAAAATCAGACAACACAAATACCCCACTTTTTCCTTCAGTACATTGAAGGCTATGAGAAACAAAAGCCTGTATATATCAAAGCTCTGCATGCAGAGGGACTGTTTATTCTAGGAGTAGACTTGAAGAGCCATAAAGAATTAGCTGCTCCATTAAAGTGTCATGAAATTTAATGAGCTACATATACTGACCAGTGATTGCAAATTTTTAAGAATAATGTTTGCTGTATTCTCCTAGGTAAAGCTTTTGTCATTCAATTCAGGGCACAAAAACTACACTTAGATTTCACATAAATGTGCAAACCCTAATTATCAATTATCTAGGGAAATTCATTAACTCAAGTTGGTACATGAGATTCAAAAGTTATCATAGTTCAAACTGCTGAAAAAATAGAAGACTGTTAATTTACCACTGCTTTATGCACATTCAAACCCCCCTTTTTACTTGAAGTAAAATATGATATGAGTTCCATTCTATCTTTGGAAACCACTTAAAATTTTCCAAATTATCCTTCCCATGACTTCTCTCTTCAAATAAGAAATGACTACTATTCTGCAAAAGTAGTGCTACTGTGCTGATATCTTCAGTGGCTTCAACTATATTATGGAGATTAATTACACATTTACCCAATTCAAAAAACAGATTATTTTTAAGAGACAGGAACTTGATATGTTAGCCAGGAAGGCCCCAAACTCCCAAGCTAGAGCCATCTTCCTGCCGGTCTCCCAAGTAGTTCAACCGCACACAGCATTGTCAAAAACCAAAAATCTCCACAGGACCCAAGTAGGTCTCTTGTTTTAGTGTTTTACTTAGGCTTTCTTGACAACAAACTGAGTGTGTGTGTATTATACATCTAGTCATATATGAATACTGCTGATAATCCAAGCCTCAAAGAGTCCTTTATGCAAAATGAGAAATATGCTTTGATATATAATTTCTCAAATTCGACTGTAATATATTACTCAAGTAAATACAACAACACACTCTTAATCATAGTCAAATGGCAGACAAGAATGCCCTTACTTCAATGCACAAAGTCAATCCAGAATTAACGCTGTAACAATGACCTGTTTTGAGTCTCCGACGACCAATGGCAGCACTAACACAGGAGAAGAAAAGAAATTCTCTCAGAAGGAAATGACCCCTATGTGTCATTTCATGTCCACATAAGTATGCCTATACCTGAAGATGGCTCAGGAAAAAAAATTAGAGACCAAGCACTTGATTTACATCATGCTGGCTTCTCATGGATGTCAGAGCTACAAAGAATTCTAAAAGAACACAAGAGTGTGATTATTGGAGCAAAGTACGTACCGCTGGCCCTGGACGCCCGCGAATGCCTGTTACCTAAAGAAGGAAGAAGATGATTTGTAAAGGGAAAGCTTCAGAAAAGTCAATATTCAAGCAAATAATAACAGCAAAACACCAGTAATTTTTTTTTAACAAATAGGTGCTCTCAGTTGATGCCATTCCCTCCTTGTCAATGAGTTGAGGTATCTCGTTTGAAGTCTATCAGAGAGAAGCAGGGCTGGTATAGCGAATAAGACCTAAGAATACTAAGGGGCCTGAACTCAACTCCTGAGAGCTCTCCATGCCAGTCCTGTGACTGTGGACTGATCATTTGCCCTGTGCTTGACTTTTCTTAAATGGAAAGTGCTGCATAGAACAGTGATGGTGAATACAAATGAGTTCCTCTCGTAACTGGGACAAATAAATGTTTGTAAAACTTTAGGCATCTAAGCACAGTAAGTAATGTACGATTTTAAATGAAAGAAATAACATGAATGGCTTAGGTTTTCTGTAGTCTTCATGGAAAAATAAGTGGATTTAAAAGCAAAGCAAAGATTTAAACACAGCCAAATAAATTACCATTAAATAAATTAACTGGTCTTGACAGACTGACACACTTTTTCAACCCTAGGAGAATGGTGATTGAAGATCTTTTGTCCTCTTTAGTAACACAATATTTGATCATCCACAAGTCTAAAGAAAAGAATTCACTTATAACTTGGAATTACAGGGACAAGTAAGGCATGATATGTTTCCAAAGGTGTAAAACACTAAACTGTTAAACAAACTATCATGTATGTGTGCATGTAATAAAGTCAATTTGTAAAATCATGATATTATTGCTTTTAGTCATGGGATATAAAAATTTAGAATGCAGCACATTAAATATTGTTTTGAAACATTAATCTATTGTAACTTGCTATTATTATACTAAAGCCTTGTTATATAAATAATTTTTCTGTTTGACAGGAAGCAGTAATATGCAACTACACTATAGTTATCCTTGAAGACAACATATATGTATATACTTACAACAGGCACTAATCCTGGTTCTCCTTTTTGTCCCTGTGAAATAAAAAATAAAAATATTCAATTAGCAAAATATAAGGGTCACAGAGATAGCTCAGAGGTGTAAGCATCTGCCTACACAAGCGCAAGAACCCCGATTCGATTCCAGTACCACATGCTGTCCCAGCCCTGTGGCCCTGGGAGCCAGCCACAAAAGGTGGGTGTGGTGGCCATGCCTGTAATCCTAGTGCTAGGGAGGCTAAAACAGGAAGATCACTATGAGTCCAAGCTGCATAGTGATACCCTGTACCAAATGCATAAGAAAAAAAAAATTTTTTTAAATAATAAAATATGTCTGGTTCTTAGGCATGAACATGTCACACTACCACGTCATGTAGACATAGTTTGGGATAGTCTAAGCAGTTTAGAGCATGAAAGAAAGTTAATTTTTAAGACACTTAGTCAGACATTACTCATGAAAATGTCACCCTCATCTGAAAGAGACAGTCTCTCTAATATGTGAAACATGTAGTAGTTTTATTTCAGTTTTTAAAGGGATAAAATCAACAGGTCGACTAGACCACAAATTAGTTATGATGAAAAGATGTAAAGAAAAAGTGTCACTGAAAAAGTTTTAAATGTATATACATTTGAATTTCACACTCTTATAACAGTAATAAGAATTTGATTCCGTCCCCATAGTCTTTGGCAGCTGACGGTAGTTCTCAGTGTCATTCCTGAGCTACTTGCTGCCCTCTAATGTACCTCACAGTAAAATATTTAAAACAAGAGACAAGTATTCTCATTTTATAAAAAGGAAAAAGTCTAAAGTTCTAGTTAAATAATTTCCAATATCTGAGAAGAATGTCCACTAATGTCTAAAAAATGTCCACTGACTAGAAAGCTAAAAAGTACAAGGGACTATCAAATTTGTCTACTCATTGCATGATGTCAGGTTAACAATAATGCTAAATGAGTTATTATTATAAAGTATATATCTATGTTTCTCTCTTTTGTCACATATTAATTTGTGTTCTCTGTTTTTGATTTGCCTTCTGACACGGATCTTGTTCTCGGGCCCTTCACTGCGCCTTAGTCCACTTTATATTCTTAGTATGGTACAGAGAATTTTTCAGTGAATTCTTCTGGAGTTTACCAATTTCCATTAGTATATTATGAATTAATTCCTTTTCTTAGACAACTGAAGAATGTGAATATGAATCCAATTATATCCAAAATCTAAAGAAAGAAAGAGGAATGAGTTCCAGTTCACTCAATTTTTTCCCAGATACTATTCTTTTATGTGTTTATAAAGCAATATATGTTCAATATATGGAATTGTTTAAGTAGAGAAAAGTACAGAAAAAAAAACAAATGCCTGCCTCACACACAGAGATTCAGCACTGCGCTCAGGCAGTCTAGGCTCGCCATAGCCCTGCAGGGTCATGTGACCAATGATTCATTATTTCACTCTTAGGTTTAGACCCATTTTTGCATTTTAAGAAACCATTAAAATAAACATCCTTATTTCTAAATATTTATGTGGCATCTCTGACCAGTATCAGAGATACTTAGGAACACGTTTATTGAAGTTAAATTTGTAGGTTAAAAATCACGTACACTTTTAAGGTTTTGGATCTAGATCACCAAATTGTACTCCAGAAAGATCGGTCTGATTATATCTTCTCAATAGTATCTCACAACTGACAAGTTTTTTGAAGTAAAATTATTTTATAATCCTGATTGTTTTAATGGTGGCATCAAAGGAGGAACTACTACTAACCTAATTTTCCTCTCTGATTCTAATGCTGAGGTAAATACTAACTGGAATTAAGGGAAAAAGAGAAGTCAGAAGAGAGAAATAATCTCTACACTAGCAAGAGGAGCTCTACAAGAGTCAGCTGTAGACAGAAGCACATCATGGTAGAACACAGGCTACACAGAGGCTGGGGAAAGAAGGGCCTAAGCATGTAGGCTTCTGAGTGACATGGAAGTATTTCCACACACTCTCACGTTTAGACTATTCTCATGTTTGAAAGTATTAAAGCAATACAAATTCACTATGTACAAGCTATTATGGAAGAAGTATCTTTCAAATACTGACAGAATTTGAATTGCTTAGAATCGTTGTATAAATTTGTATCCAGGGAATACATGAGTTTTTGAGAATGGTGCTGTAAAAATTACTCCTTCTGGAATAAGTAGAAAAACATGCAAAAAGAAGTAAAATTATGTTAGCCACAATGAAGAAAATAAAATAGCCTGCCAAGAATTCTGGTGAAACTTCTACTTCAGGAGATCTGAAAGCAAACTATTTTATTCCAACTTTGTAATTCTCTGATATTATTCTTAATTAAATCATGGGCTACTGACATGTTATATAAGCATACTATATCTCCATGACATTTTTTGAAATTTTATTGGGGTTTTTTTCTGTATTTTAGGGAAGGGTCTACAGGGTGTTCAGGGTCTCACTACTAGATCGAACTCATAGTGATCCTCCTATTTACAGCCTCTCAAGAGCTGGGATTACAGGCGTGCCACCACGCCCAATCTCAATTGCTGTCTCATCATGCCCCTGGGGTGGGGCCGGCATGGCAGGCCCAGGATGGAACCCCCAACACCCTGCGTCTCCATGACATTTAATAGAGCTTAAATGTTTAATTATAGATTTCTGGTGACAAGTTTCCCAATGATTTTATCATACTTATTCTGGACATAAGCCGAAGACATACATGTTTTTAGCAAATGGGCTTTGAATAAGATCATTTAAGTGAAATGATAATTTGTGGAACATTTTACAGAATCTGATTTTCATATTTCCTGAGAAACACAAAGTTTTGCACTTGGATCTCGGAGGAGAATTACCACATTCACTTGTGAGTCAGTGTCACATCACCACAGGCTCTCATGGCCTCGGAAGCAGTAGAGACCACTTTCCTGTATCACATCCTTCGGACAAAAAAAATTTTTTTAAGTCTCAGTAAAAAATGTTGGATTAACATGATAAATGGATGAACTAAAAGTAAAAATAAACAGGGATAGAAACCAAGCACAAAATGGATCTTCATAGCGTTGCTTTTCATTCGTGTTTCTGATGATAAGACAAATGAGGTAGACAGCCGCGTACCGACTACAGCAGTAACTCGGCAGCCACTCTGAGAATGTCCTTGACCAAGATGTCCTACACAGCCTTTGGGGAAAGGTGCTATGTGGCACAGATCACCAATTCCTTCTTAGAAAGTTGGGTGATCGTTAAGTGGACAAAATTGATTAGGAGAACTTCGCACTGTTAGTTTTATTCTCTTTCATAATTGTATATATCCACTAAACCATCTTATTTTTCATCTATCTAATTTGTTTAAAACCCATACTAATCTGTCTCAATCTGCTCTCCTTTTCATGGACTCATTAAATGTGAATTAGGATTTGCTGTCCATCTTCATTGATAGATATGCAAGTCTCTGTGGCTTTACTTATGAAAAGATACAGTTATTGCTCTCAGAATCAAAACAGGTTAAACTGGCCAAGGACAACCTTTAACATCACCAGTCTCACTTAATATGAAAGTATAGTATTGCTTTATCTGATTATCTAATAAAATCACTTTACTGAAGCTCCATTATGTGCAAAAGTAAACTTAAATTAGCTACTTAGATATCTGGTATCTCCCTCAAAATTGCAGTTATTGCCCATTTTCTACCTTTGGATGCCTAGTGTTATCCTACGTGGATAAGATTAAAGCAAGTTCCATAACATTAAGATATCCAGAAATGGGAGAGCAATGACAGGGAAACAAGAACTCTCTCCACTTGGCAGGATTATTATTATTTTTTTCTGTATTTTAGGGAAGGGTCTACAGGGTGTTCAGGGTCTCACTACTAGATTGGACTCATAGTGATCCTCCTGTTTACAGCCTTTTCGTTATTACAGTTTTTTCATTATTACAGCTGTGCCCTGTCACTCTTACAAATTCACAGCTCTGCTCCAGGATTAGATTTTACACTCCCTGAAGGTGAAAGGCAGGGAGGATGGTTTTGTAAAATTTTCAGGTTTGTTTGTTTTTTTTAATCTTTACTTCTTAACCAATGGGAGAGGCACCTCAACTCAGTGTAGAACAAACATTCTTCCTTCCTCTTTCCTTCTTTCTGTTCTCTCTCTCCCTTTTTTCTCTCTCCTCTTCCTCTTTCTCTCTCTCCTCTTCCTTCCTTTTCTCTTTCTTTCTTTTTATCTTCCATAAAATGCATATTGAGTTTCTAATATATATAAAGTATATATTAAGTATAGTAACAAGTTCTAGGAATATAAAGACTAATAAGAAAAAGTCTCAGTCCCTAAAGAGTTTGCCACTTTGCTACAGAAACAGACATCAGAACAAAGGTTGACCCTAAGGGGAACCAAACAGAAAAACTTGCACTTGCTAAGCACAGTAGCTGAAGCGCACGGACTTATTTTTTACAGCTTCTCGGCATGGTACTTTGAATTTTCCTCATGGCTTCCAGACATTTCAGAGCATGGCTTTGTGTGAATTGAATTAGAAAGAATTTTGCATATGAAACAGAAACTATGCCAAATAAAACTCACCTTTCGGGCTGATGAGATGGCTCAGTGGTCTAAAGCACCTACTTAGAACAAGCTTAGCAAAGCACAGGGACCGCGGTTCAATCCCCCAGCACCACATGCCAGCCAGCCCCGCCCCCTGGTGGGCTGAGCTGGCCACACACACACACACACATAAATAAATAAAATTTAATAAATAAATAAATAAAAAATAAAACTCACCTTTCTTCCTCTACCTATGAAAAAGAAAAGAAGAAGCATGTTACTTTACGAAGAAACAAAGCACAGACTAAATATTTACTCTCAATACTAGCTTTCTTAGCCAGCATTTAAAGTACAAAGATTACAAAGAACTCGAGTTATTTTGGATCTATATTTCCATAAAAGTTGACAAAGAAATGTATAACTTCTGCCATGGTTTTAATATTCTTCAAAACATTATATAGCATGTAATAAATGATAAAATCATCTATAGAAGTTATAATGACTTACTCAGTCGACGTTTTCTACAGCAAATTTTAATACTTTTAATGAATAAGGCTGTTCATTCATATGGCTCAGTGGTAAAAGTGTGTTAAAAGCGTAGAATTATGCACAGAAAAATATTTTCCTGTTTCTACCTCTACCTCTCCATGCATACACTAGAAACCACTATCACTGATTTTTTGCATTGTTCTCAAAGCTTTTGTCTATATAAACAAGTAGTAATATAGACCTTTTTCTATTTTTTACATTGTCTTTCATATGTCTTATAGATCTGTAAATTTTAGAGATGTTTGCATATAGTTTCTTTGTTGGTTTTTATAAAATATTTCTCATGATTCCCTCGTATGAAGCCACACAGTCTTTTTCACTGACACACGCTTTACTATGAACATTTGGGATATTTCTAAACTTTTTCTATTAGTAGGATATAGTTTGTTACCCAAACATGACAGTTTGAATGATGACAAAAAGCTACTATTTAATATGTCAGGGCAGTTGGTATGATTTGAAGTTTTCACAGGCAAGCTAAAAAGGAGAATCACGCTAGCTACTACTGATAAGGCCAAAGTGAATAATACTGATATGTATGACCGTATGTCAGTATATTTGTGGGATAAAGTCTCTAATACTTTTTTTGAATCAAAAGACATAGATATTTGCAATTTGACATATTACCAATGTCCCTTTTGAGGTTATACTACTTTCCAATCTCATGATCAATGGACACGTCTCCTCCTGGGCCCCGCCCAGTGTTATGGTTTGTATCTAAGTGTCTTCTGCAAAAGCCTCATGCAATCATTGGGGCGGCTTCTAGAGTTTGTGGTTAATGCATGATCCAATGCTGGGATTATGGGCGTGAGTGCCACACCCGCCCTGGAGTAGATAATCTGCATCCCTACGTAAGGAGAGGACAGAGGCCAGCTAGCTACCTCAGCTGCAGCTCCTCCCTTTGCTCTTTGCTGTTTGCCGATGCCATGTGCTGCTCTGCCTTGGAGCCCGCTGAGTATGGACTGACACCTCCACTAACTGTGAGCTACATAAACCTTTCCTTCCTTAATTCTGGGTGTCGGATGTTTGTCTCAGCGATGAGTGAAAAGTAACTGAAACACCCAGTGGTAGTGGTATGCAAACAACCGTTTAAATTTTGGTCAACATGAGATGCGGAACATGATAGCTCAGGGTCATTTAAATTTGCAATTTATTTTATTATAATGAAATTTGATAGTTGTCATATTGCAGAACTATATTTGTGCTTCCTTTTTAAATTAATAATTATTTTCCTGACCTGTTTCTAAATTTTATCATTAGCAGTTTAATTATTCACATCTAAGAACTCTGTATATGTGAAGCATGTTCACCATTTGTGAATTGAGTTGTAAATATGTTCATTTTGCTTATTTTTACACCCTGAAAATGTTCATTATTTTAAGGATCTGGATTTGAATCAGAAATAAGCCTTCTTTACTAGGCAAACTCCACCACTGAGCTACATCTCGGCCCAAAAAAATGTTCAGTTTTTTAGGAAAAAGAAACTCTCTTGCCTGGAAAGTGCAAGGTCCTGAGTTTGATTCCTGGTACTACTACTAATAATAATAATAATAACATTAATAATAATGATGATGAAAGAAACTCTATTACCTTTGCAACTGTATTTAATTCACTGAGTCACTGATTTGAGTTTACGCTGCTGTAGGATGTACGATTACTGTTATTTCCTGGTGACTTGCCAGCCTGCCAAATAAGTCTTGTGCAATAACCTTTCTGCATGACTAACATTCCATGCTCTTCATATTCAGGCTGGTTGGGTGTATTCGGATCTACTTCAAGATGACTGTATTCCATTACACTCTATTCATGTACTAGGATCATATTTTCTTAAGCACATGAATCTTTTTTAGGTTGGTTGGTTTGCTTATTTGATTTGACATGTTAGGAATTGAACCCAGAGCCTCATACATAGTAGGCCAGTGCTCTATCCCTCAGCTGTATCCCCAGCCCTGATACACTTTTCTAGGCTGTAGGACTAGTCATTGATTAATTACTGTTCACTCTAAGAGCTTGCCTAACGGTTCTTTTTTATTTATTCTGTGCAATTTTTTTAAATAATAAAAAAGACAAAAGTGAGACAAAATTTTAAAATAAGATGATAGAGAATTAATAATGGTTATTATATTTCATGTTGTGCAAATTTATATGTCAAATTTTAAATGAAGTATGCACGGGCATTATGTCAAAGTTAGTAGTCAACTTATGGAAAAGCTATGTGTTTATAATGTCCAACATTCCTCACCAAGAACATATTTTTATCTTTGTTTGATCTAGTAGTATTTTAAAGTTTTCTTCAGCCAACTCATATATTTTGTGTGAATTTTATTATTAAGCCTTTGTTGGCATTACAGACCAGGTTTTTTTATTCTCATTATTTACAGTATGATAAAATTGTTTATGTATAGTAAAACTCCTTGTTTCTGAAAATTAATTTTTTATTGTACTGCCTTAATAAATTCTCTTATTTTTTGGTATTTAGAACTCAATTTCATTAGGACTTATAAACACACAAGTATATTTTCTACAACTATAGTTGGGCTTTCTTTAGATAATTACTTTTTTTCTTTTTTTGGCAGGACCAGGGATTGAACTCAGGCCCTTCCACTTGCCAGGGAAGCGCTTATTCCACTGAGCCATCTCCACAGCGCTCTTTTGATAATTACTAAACCTGATTTTTTTTCTCATGTTCAGACACAATCAATGCTGTTAGACAATTCTCCTGCATGAGCCCACTGTTTTTTGTGCACCGCTGCATTAATTTCTTTGGATCCTCTTGCTCAGAGCTAGCTTCACTGTGTCTTCCACATAGAATGTATTCTTTCTAATTCTTTAATATTAGTCTTTCATTTTCCTATGTTTCCTTTTTCCTTTCAGTTTCATTCATGTTTCTCTTCCTGTTGTGTTCGGCATCATCTCAACTTGTGTTCCTACGTACTTCATCTTTAGGTTCCTTTTCTGATCTCAGGTTTCTCGCTGTTACTGTGCAGACCACTCCTCCTTTCTTCCTCTTCAGTGGCCTTCTTTCCTTGAGGCAGCTATTTTATTGTTCGATTTAGTTCATAGTAGAATAATTGGCCATGGTTTTTATTTGGCCTTTGGTAGCGTATTTGGGTGATCTTTATCTCGAAGTTTAACTGAAGCCTATTATTACCTTTCGTTTTCTGAAGTTTATTTGTACAAAGTTATTGCCACATCCTTTTTCATTATTTACTATGGAAAGAGTTGCATTTTTCTGGACCAGCTATTTCTAGGAGGTTTGATATTTTACTGTTTCCTGATATTAGCTACTATTGTCCCAATTTATGGTGAGCTTATCCCCATAGACTTAATTTTGCTGCATTCTTGGGCTTCTCTGAAGATTGTTTCTGCTTTGGTTGACCTTTACGTGACTTACTTTTATTTCTCCCTATGATCACATTAATGAAAATTGAGCTTAGGTGTTAACTCAAAGCACACTGTTACTGCCGAATGATATTTAGGAACACAAAAAGTCATTGTCTAATGTTTCTGAATTATATTTGCTGCTATTTTCAGTGGAATTTGGGGAAAAAATAAAACCTTTACTTTGCTTTGACAGCAATATATATGTCTTCATTTAACACTGCTCACACAAATAACCTAATAGCTTGACATCAATGTCTCCTTATTCATTAAAATACATACATATGAATTTTTTTTTCTTATATCAAAGTGTCATTAGCACATCTAGTTATAGTCAATTATGTAATATTTGTCAAACAAAGATATTTTTGTTCAAAAATGTTTTGAAAACCAGTGATCCATAACTTTATTTCCTCTCAGAAATCCATTTCATCCTCTTATTTTGCATGGTCAACATAAAAAGCATTTTGTATTTATGACCCAAAATGATAGAAGGTGCTGTGGTAGTAAATCATATTAGAAATTATTATTCTATTCCTTACAGCAAAGTTAGTACCAAGAAAGATAAAATTGTTCTCTAGATCTCCTCTTGGGCATTAAAGAACTTCTTACAAAACTTAAAAATATATTGGAGCAACCATCATGGAAATAATAGCAGCGAGCCATCTTAACAGGCTCAAGAAATTTTCAAATTAGACACAACCATACAAAACTTAGCAAAAAAATATTCCTCCAGTATTTAACAAGACAACAAATTACCATCTGCTTATATTGAACTGTGAAAAATCATTAATCCAAGAGTCTACTGTATGACTTAATTTTTCTCTTGGATTGCTCAGAGCAGAACAAAGCAAACAAACAAAAACAACACTGCAACTGAGCTGACGCATCATTGTTTCCATTCTTTGCTGGTCCCAGTCGATCTTACCAAAGTTGGTATTTCCACTTCCAGGGGTTTGTGGGCAGATGGGACAGCACTCTCCAGCAGGAGTCACAGGGTCAGCGCAGTTCAGCACCTCCTGACACTGTATCTTGTCACAGAGAATGGCTCCATTGTCACAGACGCAGATCTGGCATGCGCTAGGTTTCCAAATGTCCCTGTTCAAGTACACGTGGCCATTCTGAGTGCAGGCTATTTCTTCATTATATTCATCTAAAATAAGAAGGCGAAGCAGAGGTTAGTAATCAAAAATTTTGTAATTTGGAAAGAATCTAAGATAATGAGTCAGCGTGTGGATTCTGTATAATTCTGGGCTAAGTAACTGACTC